GGGGCGGGACCCGGCGGGGGGAGGGGGAAGGAGAGACAGCCCCTCCCCCCGCGGCGCTTTGCTGGGGGATAGGGGAATGGGGAGGGCGGGGACCTGCCATCCAATCAGCGGGCCGGACCCAAGCTTCCAAAGGCCTGAGAGCCGCGGCGTCGGAGTTACCGTGGCGGGCCACCAATGAGCGATGTGGGAAGGGACAGGAGGATTTCGAGGAGCCAATCAGCGAGCAAGGCCGGTGAATGCACGTCTTCTCTCACGCACACACACGCACACACACGGACGGTTGGATGACGGCCAATGAGCGAGGGAGACACGGACCTCGGAATGGCATCGGCCCATCAGCAGCTCGGAGAGATCCCGCCCCACCCCTTTTCCTCACCCACGCACTAGCCACGCTTAGAGTAAGCGTCGGTTGCGCATGCGCGGTGACTGATGCCCCCCCCTTCATATCGTACGTAATGTGTGAGGTTTCCCCCAGCACGTGCGCGCCCTGTGGGGATCCGTCTGCGCATGCGTTGGGCACAGGTGCCCGACGGCCTTCTCACTCCCCACCGCTCGTTCCAGTGTTCTGACGTCACGCGCCCTCCAGGGCCGCTGTTGCCTGTGCAGCTCGGGGGGTGCTGCAGATGGTGTGGCGCAGCATCACACACGATACCCATTTTTGCAGGATTTAAAGGGAAACTAGAAGTTTTAGTAATATGCGGGGTGGGGGGAGAAGAGTATATTATTGAGTTTAAAATAAAAGCCAAAAAAACCACCTCGACTATAGTTTTGGAATGTGCACAAACCGGCTGAATTGAAACTTAGTTAAAAAAAAAAAACCCACAGCAAGCCAAAACAAAAGTTTTGAAAAAATCATCAGAATTGCCTCATTAGCGCAGGAGCCACCATAGTGTCTCTTCTTATTCAAGATTCCTCAAACCAAATCTAGCCTTTTTGACATTTGGACAGTGCCCCCAGTCCTTCATCGTCAGTCATTCCTATACCTGAGTTCATAATACCACATGATTTTTCAGCGAGAGCTTCAACAAAAACAGAGTCTGCAGGACCTGGAAATAGAAGAGAGGCGTTAAGACAGCAAAACTGCAGAAGAAATAATGGATTGAATAGGGGAACTGCAAGAGCCTTTTGGCAAAAGGAGTCAGAACTGGTGGTAGAGGTGTGTTATCTTTCATTAGACCAACTTGATTTTTGCAAAAAATAATTCTTTAATTGCAAGCTTTTGGGCACAAGCACCCTTCTTCAGACATAGGGGAAAAGATTGCAAAAGTTCTCCTGGGTAGAAATGAAAAGCAAGGCAGTTGTTAACATCTGTGTAGCAGTAGAGAGAGATTAGAAGGAATGAGGGAGGTAATGGGCTATGATGTCAATTGACTCTGCAGGCACATCTACATGTGCATTAATGTGCTTTAGTTAAAGTGCGTTAACTCTAGTACCGCCACTGTGAGGTACTAGGAAAATGCACATTTGCCTGTCTGCATGGGCATTAACTAAAGCAAACAATTTTAAAGAGACGCTTAATGCACATTAGCCTGTTTGAATGTGCATTAACTGAAAAGCATGTTTTTTATGTGATGCTTTAATGTGCATTCAAATAAGCTAATGTACATTAAAGCACACATGTAGATGTACCCAGTAGTGATACCTGAATAGAAAAACCAATGATCCTCCAAGGCAGCTGGTTTTAAAGTGGAGGTAGAGCATATAATGTGAAAGGGTGCAACTGAACTACTGCACCCCACCTTGGATCCACCCCTGGCGGCCATGCTCTGCCTTCTGCAGAACGTAGCTGTTACAACCCCACCCTGACTAACACTATTTCCTTACAAGGTACACTTCCTGTATCATTTTCTAATTCAGTTCTTCAGGCTTGCTTTAGTTCTCAAAGTGCTTATATGTCCCGCTGCTGTCATCAGCAGGGCACAGTAACAAATGCATGCCCGCCAAGCCCCAAACAACTGGGAATAATACATAATGTCCAAATGCAAAACTGCTGAATTGAAACATGCATAATTTTAAACCTACTCTGCAGATTTTCTTCAAAGTCACCTTGTTTCCTGAACCCAGTATGACTCCCGCACAAAGCTAGTAATGTTTTTAGATATCAGAGATACCAGAATGCAATTGTTTTGATTAGAGCACTTGGGGGTGGGAGGGTTTTTCTACACTCCCATCGTTCAAACAGCTCGGATGAATGTATTCAAGCCTTTTCCTTTTTAAACACCTTTGGGCTCAGCATGCATGTAAGATGAGAGAAAGCTGTGGCCAAGGAAATTGGAGGTGATAGAATGGAAGTCATGCCATTAATCTTTAACTAGTGTTGGTACTGTAAGTATCTACTGTACATCTAAAATAACCTTCATCCAATGATCTCAAAGTGCTTTAAACAACCTGGAGCGTTACATTTCATCACTCATGTAGTGTTAATATTTTCTTCCAATATCAGAGATGGAAAAATGTGGATGGAAGAGGTGTAAATGATTTTGCTAGCATTGAGTCATTACTAGAATCCTCCATTAAAATTCTGTCTTGTGCTTTAACTCCAAAATCTTGCTTGCTTTCTTACTAATAGCCCTATTCATATTAGGAAGTGTCAGGCCTTTTCTGCTTTTTTACTATTAACACTTTTAAAAAATAAATTCCCTGTTTCTGGAGACAGAACAGCTGTGGCAGCAAAAAACGTTGTTGAGAACAGGATTTGGAAATGCTTTTGAGTATACGAGCTGGATAGGCTGAAAGGAAAGCCATTGGCACTTCATAAAATGTTATGATCAATTGTGCTGGAAGAGAATTTCAAATGTGTGATTTTTTTTCTTTTGTAGCAAAAGTGATAATTGTAAGGCCAGAGCATAATGCAGGAACAGGGAGAAATGTGTGAAACCAAAGTGAACAGAAGAAATAATTGCAGGATTGGAGACCCCCACAGAGGAAGACAGATCTGTTCTTGTTTCCAAGGTGCTTACATATTTATTCAGCACTCATCCTGTCTGCTTTTGACCTTGTCTTTTTGTACCTCCAGTATTTTTTTTTTTTGATGAGGGAAGACAGATGTGGATTTCTTAAATCACCCAGTCCAGTGGTGCTCAACTTTTGGCTCATGGGCCAAATTCTGCCTATGTCATACAGCCTACGGGGATCCACAAAGATATGGAAATTTGGTGGCAAGGGAATGGTGGCAGCATTGTTTACCACTCCTCCGCTGCCAAATTTCTAGACCTTGGGGAGTCCTGTTGGTGAGATAACATGGCTGGAGTGCAGTATCACTCTGTAGCTGGATCTAGCCTCGTGAGACTGAGCTGACACATGGTGGGTTCCAGGCTTGTGGGGATGGGTTAGTGCGCTGGATCACACCCACAGACTGATGGACCCTGAGCCATTTGTCTGGCCAATGGGGCTGGAAGGCTGGGCACCACTAACCCAGTCTATCTTTTTGGCATTTATTCTCTATAATACCTTTTTAAAGATTTTGTCCTTTTTAGTTTTGAAAGTCTACAGCTATATGGTTCTCTCCGTTCCTTGGGAGACTGTTCTATGGTTCAGGACATTTCACTGTTCAAAAGACTTTCCAGATGCTTATTTAGTTATTTATTAGATTTATGAGCTGCCTTGCCAAAAAAGAGGTTTAGAGCAGCTCACAATAAAAATGACATAAATTATAAAGACGAATAAAAATATTAAAATACAATAAAATAATATGTAATAGAACAAACTCCCCAGAATAACTGTTGCTTTTTTAAATCAAATCCTATTACTCATAGTTTTACCATCCATACTACACTAATTCCTCCCCATTTTAGGTTGTCACCTATGAAGGCTCATGTCTCTCTGAGCCAGTTAGTCTGAGGCAACATTTCTTGATCCGTGGGTTGCAACCCAAATGTGGGTCACAAAAATAAATGAAAGGGTTGCAAACAAACTTGTAAAATGGATTATCCTTTAGGAAAAAGAACATGGGAAACTATGGATTTCCCCTTGCAGGCTGGCAGAGTTCCAGCCTGCAGGGGGCTGCTTGGAACCCCCATGCCCCACAGATGGGGACTGGGGGCAGCAGGTCAGGAGTGAGAGGCACTGGTTTGCGACTGGCCATCAAAATTTACAAATGGGTCAAGGTTAAGAACCACTGATCAAAAGCCATATAAAGAAGCACTAAAGCCATATAAAGAAGATCTACCATATACTTGCTCAATCACATGATTGTATCAAGAATGTAAGTTGTTTCCTGAAATCAACAGAAATAATTGCATGAGTTAAGATATTCACATATTGTAATCTTATCAAAATCAGACCCTGGGCAATTTTTTGTTCTCATCTCATACTTCAAATTATTCCCAGATTTTCTGTCCAGTTACAGGCCATGTTACCCTGCCCTGCTACTCCCCAGTGGTATTGCTATCCTAGCTCCTTCCCATGCCTTGTCTATGTTTGTTTATTTTTCTTTAAATTTATGAACTTTTAGTTTTTAAATTGCATCTCATTTTTTTCTGTCCTTTATTTTCTTCAAGTAACTTTTTATTATTTCTCTATTTTGATGGATGCATGTAAATCCTGCCAATATGGTATCACCTGCAAGATTTTTAATGAGATAGTGATACCTGCCTGCAGGAGATTAATGAAGATGTTAGTAAAGACCAGGCCTAACATTGATCCCCTCAATAACCAACTCATTTCTTTAAATCCATATGTTGATTTTATTATCTATTCAATGTCTAGAAGTGTGCTAGCAATTTATAATCAAATACAGTTTATTGCCACAGTTCCTCACTTAACCTGACCCCTTTTTTGTCTCTTGGGGGGTTACTCCATTTAGGCCTCAGGCCTGTAGCTATCAACATTTTGGGGGGCATAGTC